AGGAACCCAACTGAGATCAGAAGAACTGACCAACTCATCTAGAGACTTAGTTGCAATGATACAATTGTTTGAAGTCATTGAGTCAGGGGGGTGATTTGTTACTCAGCAATAGCTAACTGATACACTTCCCCAAGCAGGCAGAAAGCCCTGGTCATAGAGCCTGGTCAGTGATTTATGTGGAAGGTGACTCTGGAATACTGTGAGGGAGACTGTGGTTCCCATTCCAGCAGCTCAGGATGACAATAGCAGCAAGTCTGCACCTGCACATGGGTGGCTCCAGGTCCCATCTTTCTTGCAACACAGAAGGCTCCACAGAGGAACAGGAGTCTTTCAGATGGAGGAAAGGAATGTGGGTGTTCCTGGCAGAGGACACAGCAAAGGTACAAGATGTACAGGGTGGTGTGAAGATAAGAGAGAAGTGATGAAAATTGCTAGAACCTTGCATGGCACAGAGCTATAACTTCACAAATGACATTGTTACCTTTGCGCAGAAGTGGAGGCAAGGCTGACAGCATGGCAAGTGCCAGCTGACTAAGGAACTTGCTCTTTAACTGCAGGACAATGGGGAACCACATCTGGGTGTAGGCAGGAAGTGGGTGGGCCTAGACAGAGCTTGAGAGGTTGGCTTGATGGGGCAAGAGTGAGGCAGGGAGGCCTGGGGGTAGGTGGCATTCTTCTAGGTGAGACAATAGTGGCCGGAGTCAGTGAGGAAGGCAGGTGGCTTCGCAACGCCCCTGGGAAGTGTTGGGTCTTGGTGACCTGTCAGGTGCTTTCAGTAAGGTGGGGGACAGTTGGCAGTAACAACCTGTGTCAGGCTTGGCTGCTGTGTGTGGTCCATGGTCCTATCTTCCTTCAGTGTCAGTTAGAGGTGGCAGAGGCTCAGGACCAAGTGCCATGGGCTGATGTGAGACCAGCCTGTGTTTCCTTACTTCCTGGGAGTGAGGTCTTGAGGAAGTCCCTTCTCTTCCCTGAGACTGGTCCTCATATGTAAGTGGAAATGGGAGACCTCCTAGGGTCTCAGGACACAAGTCACAAACTTTCCTTGAAGACTGCAGGGGACAGCTCCAACTCAGGCAGAAACGCGTCAACCCAGGACTCCTCTGACCCAGGTCTTGCTAAGGGATTTCCTTGATTGAAGGGGTTTGGGTGGGAGAATGAGAGATTTTGGGGTTCCCCAGGCTGGCTGCAAGGGCACCCCTTGCAGAGTAGTTGAGGGCATAGGCCCTTCACCCTGTGGAGCCTTGAGCTGGTTCTAAACTTAAGTCCAGAAGGACGTTGAGTGCATTTGCACACACACTTGAGAACACACACAGGGTGGTGCAAAAGTAGGTTTATAGTTGTTCATATGACAAATAATACAATAATTAATAAATAATAATACAAAAATAAATTCTGTGCTTTGCGTACTCATGACTGTAACCCTACTTTGGCCCACCTTGTGTGTAGTCGGAACAAGCAGGAATTTCATCCCTCCGCCCCCGCACTGTCCTGTTGCCTCAGGGATGCACGTGTGCCTTTCCAGGAGGCACAAGTCCTGTTTGCTCTTCCCTCTGCTGGGCTTGCTATGCCGCCTTGCGTGAAGCCCCGCCCCTCTCTGAACCTCAGTTTCTCCATCTCTACAATGAGATTGGGGCCAAGTCAGAAGCTGCACATGGTGGCACCAGGCCAAGTTCAGCTTGCAGTCCTGTTTTGCTCATCCTCACGGTGTTTGTTAACATATCAAAAAGTAGGAGATATGCTCGCCAAGTGGCTTGCTTGGTAGGAGCATCATTCTGTGAACCAAAAGGTTGTGGGTTCGATTCCTGGTCAGGGCACATACCTAGGTTGCAGGTTGAACTCCTGGTCAAGGCATGTACAGGGGCATCAATGTTTCTGTCTTGCATCGATGTCTCTGTCTCTCTGTCTCTCCCCTCTCTCTAAAAATCAATAAAAACATATCCTCGGGTAAGGATTTTAAAAAATCGGAGGGCCTAGCTATGCGGAGGCCCACGGTCTCCTGCAGCTACAATGGGCTTGTGTTGAGCAGCTCACTCCTCACCATCGGTATCCGCCTAGGCCCTGAGGTTTCCACATTCTAGTCCTGGACTTTCTGATTTTTTGTTTCAGCCTCTTAAGATTTTTGCTTTTTTAATAGTAGTTTTATTGAAAAGCCACTTTAGGAATAAAGCAAAGATGGGGAAATACCTCTGCCTAACACAGAGAGAAATATTTATTATCATAAGCTATTTTGAAGAATCTTATCATTATGGAGAGAATAGTAATAGTAGTAACAATAATAATAAATAATGATAATATTTAGCATCCATCGCTTTGAAACTCACACTGCCATACAATCATTGCTGGGGGAACGCTCATCACAGCCCTGGGAGGTAGGTATTTTTATCCCACTTTACAGATGGAGAAACTGGGGTTTGGAGCACAGCTGAGCTGGGCACCTCGGAGGGAGGGCAGGCCCCTAGGTGGAAACAGTGTGCTAAGGAGTGAAGTGATAGGCTGGCAGCTGACCTGGCCTTTCTCTCACAAACCCAGCTGCCCCCCATTCCTCATCTGAACAGTAAGACAAGGCATGGTGTGGCTTCTGATACCACCTTTATGTGATGACATCTGGGACATGATCAGAATCTCCATCATTCTCAGGTGTTTGAGGCCTCTTTGCTCACAGTAGACACTGTAGGTTTTCTAAGGCAGAGATAAACTATGACATAGGGAACTTCAAGAAACTTTTGCATTTTCTCTTCCCTTAACCATTGGCCCACCCACCTACTGGTCCACTACCCATTCATCTACCCATCAGCCCATCTACTCATCCACCCATCCATCCATTATCCACCCATCTATTCATCCATCCACCCATGCATCCATTATCCACTCATCTATTCATCTACCCATCCACCCACCCACCCATCTATCCATCAGTTATCCATCTGTCTATTCATTCATCCATCTACCCATCCATACACCCATCCATTATCCACCCATCTATTCACCCATCCATCCACCCATCCACCCATCCATCCATTACCCACCCATCCACCCACCCACGTGTCCATCCACCTATCCACCATCCACCCACCCACCCATCCTCATTCCTTCACTCCTATCCATCCTGACACCCAAGTAAAGAAGAAAAAAATGGTCCAAGGGAAGAAGCCAACCAACTGTCCAGCCAGTTTATTTGTCTGTGCTGGGATCCAGGCCCAGTGCTGACATTGGAGTGTCCCATATAGCCTAGACACGGAGAGGCTCCCAGTGCATGGGGCAATGGGGCTGTGATCTCAGAGATACCTGGGTTTAACCAGTGTCTGTGGGCATAGAGTTCAGAGGTGCCATCTCTTAGTGGCGCAACACAATTGCCAAAGGTCTGACTAAACACCACAAGCAGAGGTGCACAGCACACATCCACGTCCACACACCACCCGAATCTTTCAGGCACACTGATGGAGAGAAACATATAGTTGGGTACACACAGGAGCACACAAGAGGTACTTGAAAGCACAAGTCACATGACTACCCCAAGACTCCCTATAGTCACACACACACACACACACACACACACACACACACACACACACACACACAGAACATCCACCGCCTCCTGGAGGACAGCTTTCTAAGTAGCGAGGCGCTAGAAGAAGGTGGACCCAGAGCGGAGAGGCCTCACCTATACCTCTCCCTCTCCATCTGCCCTAGGACTGTAATATCCAGAAAGCCCAGCAGCTCATGGGACCCCTCACCCAGCTTTTTTCCCTTATAACCGAGGACTGTGCCTCACCCCTGTCCCCCAGGAAGCACAGCAATGGGGGGCATCCTAGTGAAGGACAGGCTCCCTGAACTGGCTCCTGCCAAGTGACAATGACCGAGTCCCTGTGATCGTCACACAGTGCTGAGGGCACAGACCTGCCCACCACGTGGCTCATCATGAGGTCACCACTCAGTGACCTTGCTCTAAAGGCCTGCGCTTAATAGGTTGAGGCTGGGGATCTAATTCCTTTTCCAGGTAACATGATGATACCACAGCCCAGGCATCCACTGGCTGCTTTTGCACATTTGGCCAAGAGAACTTGAAAACCCAGTCATGTGAGGGTCCTCGTGGGATCTGACGCGACACCCAGGCCTTGCCCCTCCTTACCCCAGAGCAAGTCCTGGGACTAAGAAGAAGCACAGGCCATGGGATGATATTGCCAGATTCAATATAAATAAAGTATTCATATAAAAATAGTCTTTTACAAAATATTCTCTTATCCAGTGGCTCACTTTCCAAAATATGAAAACTGCTGGGAGTTTTTATTATTATCTTTCCTCTTTCCATATATTCCAAACTGGATTTCTGATGGTGAAGTTCAAGTTGGGGAGGACTAGGGGTGGGGAACACATTCTGAAAAACATTTCCAAACTTAGGCCAGCTTAAATTTCTGGGTAAGTAGCAGCAAACAGCAAAAAAAAAGTGTGTATATATATCTATATATGTATAAAGGACATCTGCTCTGACCTTAACCACCCAGTGCAGAGGGCACTTGCAGAGTCAGCTAGTTGAAATATTTGCATGAAGAATAATTACGTACGTTTCTAGTTGGCTCCTTGTCCTAGCGACAAAATCTTCCTGCAAAGAAAGCAAACAGTCTGCTTTGCAGAATACGGATCCTGACCAGGCGGAAGGATTCTTTTTAATTAAATAAATTAATATTATTTTAAAAAATCAGAATAAATTGTTAAATATTGCTATGATGAGGCCCAAGGATCCAGGGTTCCTGCTGCGAAAGGCTCGGCTGAGCCAAGGAGCCCCAGGCAGTGTCCAGGTCGGGTGAGCAGGCCCGGGGGGAGGGGGCAGCTGGAATCCTCAGGCCTGCGGAGGGCCCTTGCCCACAGGCGTCTGAGGAACCCTTGCAGGTGCCTGTGTAGCAGAAAAGACAAGCTCCGCGCCCCTGCAGCTCCCTAGGAGGATCTGGGAAGTGACCTGCCAGGGCGAGGGCAGGGGGACACGGCCTCCCCGCAGCGGGCCCCGGCCCGCAGGGCGCCTGGGGCTCATTTGCACGTGTACACCTCGGTGTGCTCGCTGCAGGTGTTGCACTTCACGTAGCAGCACCAGTGGAACTTGCAGTTGCACTGCCACACGCGGGCGTACTGGTGCGTGTTGTAGCCACGGCCACAGCACATGAGGTCACAGCCGCTGGCCTGGGGCGCCGTCTTGTTGCAGGCGCGGCCCTGCGTGCCCACGCTGCCCGTCACGGGGTCCTCCTCGCAGTAGTTGGGCGACTTCTCGATGTACACCAGGTCGGTGTCCATGGGCTTGCGGTAGGACAGCGGCTTCTTGACCTTCAGGAAGGCGGGCCGCTTGTTGCGGCTGGCCCGCACGGGCTCCACGTGCACCGCCTCGTTGTACTTGCCCTTGAGCACGTAGCCCAGCTCGCGGAACTGGGGCAGCGTGGTCCAGCAGGTCTTGGTGGTGCAGGAGCCCGACACGCCGTGGCACTTGCACTCCAGCTTCATGTTCTCCTCCAGGATCTGCGGGGTGGGCAGGAAGGAGCACAGCACAGTCACTTCACGCACGACCCCGCCCTCCCGGCCCACTCCCCGCCTCACGGGCGGGGTTCAGCTTTTGTTTTTCTTTTTGGTTCAGGAAACTCAGAGACCTTGGCTGGTTGAGTCTCTGGTATCAGGACACCTAATGTGACAGAGCACATGCTATGTGCCAGCACCCTCACAGGACCTTCACGCACGTGGAGCTGCTACGGATGAGTAGCCACCCAAATAACACAGATGTCCCCTTTGGTCGTCAATGAGAAGAGAGCTCCCCGGTGGCCAGCTGCCTGTCTGCCTTGGCCTGAAAAGCTGGGAAAAGAGCGAGGCTCGGAGGTGTGATGGGTGTAGGGGGCAGGGTTAGGCAGGTGTTCCTGAGGCATGACAGCCTGGTGCACTGAGATTTTAGTGCAGCAAGAGACTTCAACAGAGCGAGGAGGGGGGACGTTCGGAATGTTTCCCGACGCTACTGAGTGTGGGCAAGGCTGTGGAGCCCCTGGAACTCACCCACACTGGTGGCAGGAGTGCAAACACATCGTGTCTGAGAAAGCTGCAGAGGCACAGGCGTCCGAGCTGCTTGCATGCTGTAGAGCCTAGAGGAACCTGCTGTGTGCAGAGGAAGAGCCTAGAGGAACCTGCTGTGTGCAGAGGAAGAGCCTAGAGAAACCTGCTGTGTGCAGGGGAAGAGCCTAGAGGAACCTGCTGTGTGCAGAGGAAGAGCCTAGAGGAACCTGCTGTGTGCAGAGGAAGAGCCTAGAGAAACCTGCTGTGTGCAGGGGAAGAGCCTAGAGGAACCTGCTGTGTGCAGAGGAAGAGCCTAGAGGAACCTGCTGTGTGCAGAGGAAGAGCCTAGAGAAACCTGCTGTGTGCAGGGGAAGAGCCTAGAGGAACCTGCTGTGTGCAGAGGAAGAGCCTAGAGGAACCTGCTGTGTGCAGAGGAAGAGCCTAGAGAAACCTGCTGTGTGCAGGGGAAGAGCCTAGAGGAACCTGCTGTGTGCAGGGGAAGAGCCTAGAGGAACCTGCTGCGAGCAAAGGAAGAGCCTAGAGAAACCTACTGTGTGCAGGGGAAGAGCCTAGAGGAACCTGCTGTGTGCAGGGGAAGAGCCTAGAGGAACCTGCTGTGAGCAAAGGAAGAGGCTCCAGGATGCTCAGAGCAGCAGCTTTCATGGTAACTCCAGGCGGGGCACCGTCCACACATCCCTCTGCCATGGAAGAAAGGATGAGCTGGGGCCTACGTATGCCACAGGACACAGTGGGGCAGTGACAGTGAACAGCTACAGCAAGCCACCCGAACAGAAGTCAACCTCAGAAACACAGCAGGGAGGGAAGGAAGCAATGAAAGACTTCCACAGAACTGTTTCACCTGTATCACGTTCAAAAGTTGGCAAAACTGGACTGTGGTGTTGAGGGCACAGAGGGGGCATGGAAAGTAGAGACGAGGAGCACAAATACTGAGGTGGTGCTTGTCCCTGCAGCCTAGGCAGGGGCTGCGTTGGTCAGGGTCACCCAGGAGGCTTCGGGGGTTCTGGCAGTGTCCCGTTCCTACATATGGGTGTTTATAATTATTCTTTTAAATAAACACAGATGGTCTCTGTGCTATTTTTTTCCATGTAAGCTATATCTTGCAGTTTACAAGAATGCAATGGATATAATGGCCAGTAAGCATGTGGAAAGATCCTCAACATCACTAATCATCAGGGAATACACATCAAAACCACAATGTCCATCAACCAAGGAGTAGATAAAATGTGATCTATCCATAAATGGAATATTATTCAGCCATAAAAAAGAATGAAGTACTGACACCTGCTACTACATAGATGGACCTTGAAAACATGCGCTAAGTGAGAGAAGCCAGTCGGAGAAGGTCACGTATGACATGACTGCGTTCGTATGGGGTGTCCAGAAGAGGCGAATCTACAGAGACAGACGGTGGACTATGGGCTGGGAGCAGGAAGGGGAAATGGGGAGTGACTGCTAAAGGGTACAGGCTTCTTTTTGAGGTAATGAAAAGATTCTAAAACTGATTGTGGGGATGGTTGCACATACCTGAGAATATTCTTTAAAGTGTTGAACTGCACACTTTAAATGAGTGCACTGTATATTATGTGAATTATATCTCAATAAAGTTGGTTTAAAAAAAGTCACTGGAAGGTAGGTTTTAGTGAGAACCCAAGGGGCTGTATTCGCCCCTGTGTGACACCAAATGTTTTCATTGAGATGGACGCTGGGCATTGAGCCCCAGTGCGAAAGGCCAGGCTCCTGGGCCCGGCTGGGTGCACATGTCCCCGCACGGCCTCCCTCTTCCTCTGTGGCTGTCTCAGGCTGTGGTGGTATCTGTGTGGGCACCTAATCAGATGACACCAGCCTGTTAACCCTGCAAACCCTGCGTCTTGAGAGTCTCAGCGATCACATTATGTCCAAATTAAGCTGAGCTTAATCACAGCCCTCCCGGCCAGGACTGGTCACCCAGATGGAAATTACAGACAGGCAGCAAGCCCCTTCCTGAGGCAGGGGACAGCAGCAGAGGAAGTGTGTCTGGGACAACGCTGCATTCTTTGCACAATCTTTCCCCACCCCCCGAGGCCAGGCTGCCTACCAGCTTCTGAACTGCCCAAGAGGACTTCCAGGGATTGATTCCTTTACGCTTGAAGAGTCTAGATTGTGAAACTGAGCACCTACTATGTGCTGGCATCATGCAAGGATTGGGGACTCAGCAAAGGAAATAGGGACAGAGCAGTGGAAGGCTTTGCAGGCTCTAGATGATGTGACTCCAGTTCCTGGCACATAGTAGTTTCTCTTAGGAAATGCCCAGAGGTAAATTCGCCAACAGGGTGCACTCCAGCTCTCCCACAACTGCATGCCCAGCCCCAGCAACCACCTGAGCACCCACCCTGTGCTGCTGGGTGGGGGGAAGTCGGAGGACCCAGGGGAGGAAGCCTGGTGGAGAAGGAGGGGCTTGGAACTGCTGGTATGAATCCTTGTCAATATTTTATGCCCCTGGCTGCACTCCTGGGTCCAGCTTAAAGACCAGTGCCATAGACTGCCGAGGTCTACCATTTTACCATCCTGTGATGCAGAAATGCCTCGGTGCAAAAAGAAAGAAATGAGAAAATACATCCGCAAGGCCAGAAGTCTGGTCTCAGCAGGCTTCGCACACACCTAGCTCTTCTGCCTGTCACCTCCATGGGGTTTGGGGCCTGAAAACCACCAGGCCCCAAGTGACACAATGAGGGGCTGTGCCCCCGTTCCAGCCACAAGCCCCACTCACTCGCACCTGTCACTGCTGGTCAGTTAGTACAGGTCTGGGGACTGACCTTCACAGGAACTTAGGGGACAAACTGAGCACTTACTATGGACTGGCATCAGGTGAGGATTGGGGACTCAGCAGAGGAAAGAGGGACAGAGCTGCTGCCATTCTATGGGGTAGAGGGGGACAGGTAACTGGTTCAAATAATAAAATAAGTGAGGAGAAGAAACTGGAACAGGGGTAGGGGCTGGAGAGTGAGGAAGGGGGCAGGCTGCGTGCCCCTGATGAGAGGACAGCCGCCCCGAGATGACCTGAGCAGAGGGAGACAGCGAGGGCACCACGTGGCAGCACAGGCCCAGCGTCTCACTGCCGCTCCACTTGGGGAACTCGGGAAGGCCTGCGGCTGCTGCGGGCGGCCACGCTGGTACCGGCGCGTGGCGACAGGCAGGGTGCGGAGGCGGCACCGGCGGAGGCCTCACCCAGGCTCCACGGACTGTGCCACGGAGGGGGGATTTTTTTCTTATTCAGTGTTTTTAAAACAAGCTTTATTTTTTAAAACAGTTTTATATTTATAGAAAAATTGTGAAGAGTTTCCATACACCTTAACATCTTACATTAGTGTGGTGAATGTTATAATTCATGAGTTAATATTAATACATTATTATTAACCGAAGTCAATACTTATTCAGGCTTCTCTGGTTTATACCTCATGCCCCTTTTCTGTTCCACAATCCTGTCTAGGCCACCACATGACAGTTAGTCGTCCTGTCTCCCTGGGCCAGGAGATGAGATTGTATTGTGAGTGGACAGGGAAGGCAGTGGAGCAGAATTTATGACTTTAAAAAGATCTGACACTGGTTGCAACACATGTTCCACCCGCACAGAGAGCGTGCAGTATGCACGTGGGGCAGGGGATATACAGGAGCTCTCTGCACCTTCTGCTCAGTTTTGCTGTGAACCTACAATTGCTCTGAAAAATAAAGTCTATTAAAAACAAGATCTCAGCAGAGAAGCTGTATGTAGGAATTGTTTCTGGAGCTGAGACTTAGGTGCTTTCCCTGGGCCTTGGTTTCCCCATTTGAACTCATGAGTTTGAACTAGTTGATTTCCAAGGCCACTCTGACTCTCTCTGGCAATCTTAGCCTTCTATCCATGCTGCTCTTTAACCTACACAAAGTGTTTTCAGAGCTCTAACAGAACTGGATTTTCTTACACCTCCTGAGAGATGAGCATTTTCATCCCATTTCACAGGTGAAAAAAACTGAGGCTTGGAGAACGGACGGGACCCAAGTTCAGAGTATGCAAGACCTCCTCATGTTTCTCCAGACCACTCCCCGCACTTCCCCCTCCCGCTCCAGGCCCCAGGTGAGACTGCAGGGCTCACCAATACGCTTTTTAGCTCCAGCACCCTGCCCGTTCCTATAGGTGACTGATTGGGCCCCGGGCATTTGGGTTGTGGGATGACCTAAATGCACCCGTGTGGCTTCCAGGTGGGTCTGGCAGATAGAAGGCACTGGGGGGAGCTGAGAGGGCAGGAGGAAAGTCCTGGCCACTACTCCTCCTGCTCCTCGATGCTGGCCCCACAGGATGGCTATGTCCCCTATCAAAGGTCACAGCTCCTGCTTGGAAGTCCTCTCAGGACAGCCCCAGGGTTCCAGCAGTCCAGCCTCCTGGACTTCAGGCTTAAGAAGTAATGCTCCTCACTGTGGACAGAGCCAGGGTGCCACCATCCCTT